TTTTTTTTTTTTTTTGCTGGTATGTGCTGTTTCTATCACATTAGCTCTGTAGTATAATTTCACATGAGGCATTGTGATGCCCACTGCCTTGTCTTTGTTGCCCAGAACTGTTTTTGCTATTCTCAGTCTCTTCTAGTTCCAAATGAGTTTTAGGAGTGTTTTCTCTAATTCTATGAGGTATGCTAATAGTATTTTGATTGGGATTGCTTTAAATCTATATAGCAATTTTGGGAGTATGGCCATTTTCACTGTGGGTTTTTTTTTTTTTTGTATGTAGGAGCAAGGGGTATCTTTTCATTTTCTAGTGTCTTTTTTTATTTTTTCATAGTAATATACTTTTCAATGTAGAGATCTTTTACTTCCTTTGTTAGATTGAGTCCTGCATATTCCATTTTTTGATACAAACGTAAAAAGTGTTGTTTCCCTGATTTCTCTCTCATTGAGTTTGTTGTTAAGGTACAGGTATGCTATTGATTTTTGTGTGACTGTGAATCCAGCTGTGCAACTAAAAGTGGTTATTAAATCTAGAATTCTTGTGCTCACTCAGCAGCACATACAATAAAAAAAATCTGGAATTTTTTGGTGGAGTTTTGGGGATTGTTTATGTAGAGCATCATGTTATCTGTGAATAATGATAATTTAACTTCTTCCTTCCCTATCTTTATTCCTTTTATTTCTTCTTGTCTATTTGCTCTGCTAATGTTTCATGATTTATATTGCATTGGAGTGGTGATATTGGGTATCCCTGCTTTGTTCCTGATTTTAGAATGAAAGTTTTCAATTTTTGACCATTTAGTATGATGTTGGCTAGTGTTTTGTCATAGATTGTTTTTTGATCAGATTGAGATGAAAACAATTTATTTTGATTTCTGTACAGTTTTTATCATGAATGAGTGTTAGACTTTGTCAAATGCTTTTTCTATGTCTACTGAGATGATCATGTGATCTTTGTCTATCCTTGCATCCCTGACATCAATCTTACTTGGTCATGTATATAATCTTCATGATTTTTTGCTACATTCTGTTTGCCAGTATTGTATTCATGATTTTTGTCCCTATGTTTGTTAGGGAGTTTGGATTGTATTCCTGTTTTTTGCTTGAATCAGTCTGTGGTTTTGTATTGGGGTAATAGTTACTTCCAGGAATGGTGTTGGGTGTATTGTTTTCCTTTCAGTTTCATTAAAGTGTTTGCAGAATAATGGAATTAGATCCTCTGTAATTTTCTTTTTTTTAGTTCAGTGCTTTCATTTTATAAATAAAATACTGACAATTAAATCAGCAATGACTCAGGACTTGGGCCTTTTCTTGTTGGCAAGTTTTTAATTACATTTTTCATTTCATTGACTGATATTGGGCTATTTAACTTTTTATATCTTCTTGATTCAATCATAGTTCATATGTATCTAGGTATCTCTCCATCACTTCTGTGTTTTATATCTTCTAAGAGTAAATGTTGAAGTTGGTATTGAAGATCTGCATTTTCACAGTATCTGTTGTGATTTCACCCTTTTAATTCCTAGTCCTATGAATCTGAGACTTTGCTTTCTTTATTGATAAGTGTTTGACTAAGTGTTTATTAATTTTATTTAATCTTTGAAGAGAATGAACTCTTTGATTCATTGATTCTTTTCATTGCTTTTTTAGTCTCAACTGCATTTTCTCCCTCATGTGAGATTTAGGCTTTACTTATGCTTCTTTTTCAGAAAACTTGAGGATCAGCGTTAGGTTGTTTATTTGAACCTGTTCTGTTTTTCTGATGTAAGAATTCACCTCTATAAATTTCCCACATACAACTGCTTTCATTATGTCGCATAAGTTCTGGTGTGCTAGATCAGCATTATCATTTAATTTGTAGGTACTGGTTAATTTCTTTTTAAGTTTCTTTTGTGACCATCGGTTTTTCAGTAGGGTGTTATATAATTTTCATGTGTTTATGCAGTTTTTCAGGTTTCTTTTTCCATTCATTTCCACTTTCTTTGCCCTATGCTCAGATAATATGCATGGTTTCAGTTTCTTTGTATGTACTGAAGCATGTTTTATAGGCTAGTATGTCATCTATTTTGGAGGACATCCCATGTGAACCTGAGAAGAATGTGTATTCTGATGTTGTGGGTGGAACACTTTGTAGACATTTACTAAGTCCATTTGTTCACATATTTGGCTCACTTCTGATATTTGTGAATTTTTTTTGTAGTTGGTCTATCTTCTTGAGATAGTAGAGTATTTGCCCCATTATAATTGAGTTCATTTTTATTTGATTTTTTATGTCCATAGTACAGT